AAGCATCTTCAAGCAATGCTGCCCAGGCAGGATTTGCCTCCAGACCTCCTGGCAGCACTGCTGGAGGCAGACATGTCCCTGCACAGCTTTCGCACCCGCACCGCACCATCCGTGACTCCACCCCATTCGGGCGCCTCTTTCGCGTATGCGTCTACTTCGACACCCCGTATCTCTCGATCTACCAAATTGCAAGATTTGCAAAGCGCAAGCCCGCAAACATGAGGTAAGGAGTGCGAGTGGACGGCCTCCGAAAGTGCGATGTGTAGAGCCTCTCAGGGACGGTCTTCAGGTTTTCGATCTTCACCTCTGAAAAGGAGTTGAGTCATGTGTGACCAATCTGTATCGATAGTCACGTGACTTCTCTGCTGCAGGCGTTTACAGTTGCCTTGGCGCCACGCTGCAAGCTGCTGGTCGCATGGCATTCCCCTCGCTGTGTTCACTGCGCGATGGGTGTAGTTGAAGTGCTGCAGGGTGTTTGGGATGGAAGCATCGTAGCACGAAAGAAGGCAAACGCGGCAACTCCAGCAGTTCAACCCCATCCCCTGCTTGTCTTGTCTTGAAGAGCCGCGGATGAACATAGCAGCATCATGCCATAGATAGGGTTTTGACATTCTGTCCATTCAGTCCGCTTTCGGTGTCCATGACTTGCAATTCAGGCCTCGCAGCTGATGGCATCCCCAGAGATACTGGCTGCACTGCTGCAGCCTGTGCCAGTGGCTGCATCGAAGACGGCATGAAGTCGACGCACTTCGGACGTTTAGAGCTTTGCCAAGACTTCAGCTGCCTGGGCTCTACTGTTGCCAGCCTTTGCTAGCGGATGCCGTTTGCTGGATGGAGGTACTCAGTGGCATGCACCACACAACTGTGCCCAAGAGCTTGCAAGTGACATTCCCGAGCCATTCAAAGTGTTCAATTTATTCTTGCCCTGCAGAGGTCTGTGGGCTTCTGTGCAACTGTGCAAGCCCGCGACTGGCGTGTTGGAGCTTGATGCAACTCAGCTTCCAGATCCGAAGCGTTGGCTTGCTCCCTGAAACTGTAAGCAAGGCACCAAACCAGACCGGGTCGGTTGGCCTTTTGGCATTCGCCCTACAGGCTCAGTAGTGTGGTTCGGATGAAGCATCATTCCTGAATGCGAACTTTACTCATGAGCGTGCTGGAGCGTTAATCGCTTCATGCGTTTAATCAATCCCCCCTAATATAGTGATTTACCGGCCGGAAAACTATCCAGTTTCGAGTCGAGCGAAAAGTTCAAGAATGAACAAAAGTCAATTATGACGGTAGGGGTCAGGCAGGAGGGCCAGAATGCGATTGGAACTACCAGGCTAAGGCCGCCAGGCGGGTAAACCCGGGGTTTGGAGCTTCCAGGGTTTAGCCGTCCAGAGATTGGGATTCCCAGGCTAGGGCCGCTGTCCAAAAACAAGCGTGCGAGGCCTGGCGAAGTCTATTCTATACCCAGGCTAGGGCCAGCAATAACTCTGATACTGTCTCGAATCCGGAACTCCCAGGCTAGTGGGTGCCCGCTTAGCCTGGCACTCCAATTTCACCGACTTCCGGAGAATCACTGAAAAGTGAAACCTGAAACCACCCGAAAACCCCCTAATATAGAATTGAAGGCCGCAAGACACTTCTTTGTATTTGGGGGGGTAGTAAACAAACGTATATGGTCGCTCGCTTCCCTGCCGAAGCCCTTGCCTCTGGGCCGAGGCTCCTGGACCGTTTCCCTGCGTGGTTGCAACATGCAGAGACCGCCACAAGCGCGAGGCATTGGGAGCGCCTGCTTCGAAGTCAGAAGGTCAAACGCAACCAGAGGTGTGCCCAGAAGCTTTCTTGGAGGGCCACTTGCTCGGGTTGTCACGGTGCCGAGATGTCCAGGAAGCTCCTGGAAATCTCCCTTCCATGGGCGTGCGAGGCACGTGCTGGACTTTGAGGGCTTTCTGTCCACTGTCAGAGTAGTAATTCTTTCCTGCGGCATGCGTGGGTGCCGTAATTGCTTAAGCCATACTACATAGTGCAGGACACATTGCTGGCAGCTCATGCAGCTTTGCAAAGGCCTTCTTGAGCCTTCTTTCCTCAGCGCCGGTGGTCCGAGACACGGAGGCTACACTGGCAGTCTATGCTTGGCATGGCCCTTTCTTTCGAATCAGCTGCCTTGTTGGACAGGTTTCGCAGACCTTGGCGCAAGCTCTGATTTCGATTCATCGGGCTATGGGGCCTCCTAGCTGAAGCCGAGACTTCGTGTGTTGGATCCTGCTGAAAGCGAGTTGCATGTTCACGCCTGAAAAAATACGCCGTCAATGGAGGTCGTCTTTCACGGCGGCAATGGCACGAGGTCTCAGCGGATTGGGCCTGCAGGCGCTTCAGCTCGGGGGCACCTACCGAATGTCCATTCCACAGGTTTGTTGTTGCGGTAGAAGCAGCTGCAAGGAGGAGGGCGGCTTCCTTCTGCAACAGCTTGCGGACTCAGGGCTCACCGAGGACTGCAGCCGTGGGAAAACACTTGGAAGGTCCTGGTTCTGGTCTCTGGTCTCTGCCATTCCTCCCTTTGTCCAAAGCCCATCAGGAGACCCTTGCAGAGGCCCTGCGCGATGCTGCGGATGCATGGCAGGCAGCCATAGTACTTGTCCAACGTCTGGCAGAAGCCCACTGTGGAACGACATCGAGTATAGGCTTTCTACCATGCGAGGCTGAAACTTTGATCGAACAGATGAACGTTGGTCTACGTACCCACCCAGCGCACACTGCGCAGCCCACAAAATTCCTGTCGACACAAACAGTCTCCTATGAAATTGTCACATACGAAGTCTCTTTACAGTAAGACTCCTAAAGAAAACACATCCCCAAATTGCACGCTGTAAACACTATGACAGTGACTATGTCTCAGACCATTCGTGTCAGGCCGAGGAGCTTCGGAAGTTGTCCGCGTGAGCCGCAAAAAGAATATCCTTGAGGAAGCGAGGTCATACACAATTTACCGCGCGTGTTCTTCTGCTTCATGTAATGAGGATATCTGTTTGGGCGAAGGGTCGGAAGCTTGCTAGTGCGAGCTGGCAGGTAGTAGGTAGTATGTTGGACTTTCGACATGCTTGCCGAAGCGCAGTTTTGCGTTGCTTCGGCCTTTGGTGCTCCGATGCCACACTCGAGCCGGCCATTCGAGTTTCAATTGAAAGCCACTCAATCTCATTGGTTTGCTCACGGTCTAGCCAGGGCGTCTTCATTCCGCTCGTCGACAGAACTGCATTTGGGCTGGTGGTCCGGCATCTGTGAGGAAGCTCTCGCGACCACGATCCTCCTTTGTGGCCGAGTGATCGCCATGACTTTCGAGTCCAGTCCACGTCCCTGAGTGCACGCCAATGATTTCTCTCTCGCTGCGAGATTACGTTAGCATCGTTGGTAGAGAGCAAAAGCAGACAATGAGCCATCTCAAATCGAGAGCCTCAACGGTTCGCCCAGCAAAACCCATCGAGACGAGCTCATATCGCCAACTTCTACTCCGCAACCCGTAGCAAACATTTATCCTGAACAAACCGAGACCCACATGCAAGAGCTCCAGACCTTGGCACCTGGTTGAGTTGGACCCGCTTATGAGATTCTTAAATGGTGAGCGCCGGATCTTCGCGGGTATCTGCCGAAGATTCCTCCAAGCCGGAAACAGCGGCGCCGCCAGGACTTGAATTTAGGACTCAGGGTCGTGGCTCAGGTGTTTCAGTGCAACACCATGTCTCTACACTCTCTCTACGCGGGGGATTCAGTTTTCCATGCATGGTGCCGATACCTTCATCTGAATCACCTCTAAGCCACTCCTTGCCTCCAATGATCCTAGTGTGCTCTGTGTACCTGTTTGTTGGGACACAGCCATTTCTTCCAGATCCGATTGTCCTGTTTGCTTGTTACGGTGTTCATAAACTGATGACCCTGGCGGAGGTCCGTGCTACGTCACCAGAAGCTAGGCAGCGCACGAAGACACGTACCCAACTGCCGCTGATTTCACCAAGGATGAGCGTATCTTGGACCCGCACAGTCCCCGTTGTGGCACTACTCTGCCTCGCAGGCAGTGAATTGTCAGTCTACATTGTTGAATATGGGGTCCGAGTTCGGCTCCGGTGCTTTCTGTGCACAAGATAAGAAACCAGTTTCTAAGTGCAGGTCGAGCCAGCTCTGCGCAACCCTAGGACATGTCCTTGTGTCGTGATCTGTGTTCCGCCATCTCTCTGCGCCCTCTCGCGGTCTCCTGTGACTTCTCACCAACAGTCTCCAAAATCCTGTGGAGGCACGCAAGCTGCCTCGACATTGACTCAAAAACTACAAAGAACAAGCAAACGTATCGGAAAGTATCAACCAAAGCCAAATCGCCCCCTTCCCTCTCACTCTGCTCTCTCTCTCTGTCTCTCTCTCTATCTCTGCCTCTCTCTCTCTCTGTCTCCCTCTCTCTCTCTCTCTCTCTCTCTCTCTCTCCCTCTCGCTTTTTCGGCCAAGGTTTAGGTTCGTCCTCATCAGAGCTGTGCCAAATAAAGGTTGACTCATTTTTTGGAATAGCATCACGGTGCACGGCCTGCAGTAGCAGTTGGGGCTGTTGACTCCTAAAATACACCAACAGGAGGGGAGACGCCCAACCTTGAACAATACATTTAAGGGGGATTGGCAGACCCTTTACTCTCAGGGCAGTGGGGATCGGCATGACCTTGCAGTGACGGCAACAGCAAATCCTCGGTGTAGAGCACTGTGCACCGTCAAAGGAGTGGGGCATGGTAAAGCCTTGACACGAAAAAGAACCTTGCTGGCTTCCCGGGCAAGAAGCAAGATGCTGGAGCAAACGTGTACTCGATCCCTCAAAGCCACTGCCTCGAATAAGCACAGTTGTCCCGGAAGCCCCACCCCCCCCCCCCGCAACTGGATCGTTGCTCCGCAACTCAATTCGTACATGGACATGCCATAGATAATGTGTGGCGTTCTTGACTCTTCTGATTTGCTTGCCGGCGTCAGGCCTCTTCGGGCTGCTGCACATGCGACCTTCCATGTTGCCAATGACTGACTCAGTCCAAGGCGGCAGCCGTCCTCACGAGACTTTGACATTCACAGCTGCCAATGAACGTCTTGAGGTCGTCGAAGTCAAGTGTAGTTTGAGGAAAGTGCGCAGAAGTCTGAACCCTGCGCTCGAGTGTCACTCGCTGTGTCCTTCGGAGGTCAGCAGGTTGCAGGAGCCGCTGCCTTGAAAGAGGCGACTGGGCCAGCATCAAGTGACATTTGAGCATCTGCAAGCCTCCGTTTGCATGACAAGGTTGCAGTCTTGTCAGGTCAGTACACTTCGCGAAGCAGTGTTTCGAGGCGTCTTGGACTCCTTTCGATCATCAGCTCTGACGGCATGGAGTCGAGTAATCACAGACGAGGGAGGACTGTATCTGTGCTCCAGCTCAGGACAGGATGATGTCCTGAAGGCAACTGGGGATGTTGCTGGAACTAGTCCAGCTAGTTGGTTGCACGAACCCTTCCCTGTAGTCTGGGGCAAATACTTATCTTGGGTATGACGGTTTGCATACCATGCAGAGACGCATTTTGTTTTGGAAACTCACGCTGCAAAGCCCCACTTCAGCCAGAAGCTCCTCGGACTTCACCTGTGCTCAGGCGGTAGACATGCTGAAGCAAGAATTGGCGCTCCTTCGGCAGTCCAGGTGCGGAATGTAGCTTCCAGGCTTCGATTGGAGAGGTGTCAGGAAAAGGCAGTCAAAGGTCACACAAGCAGAGTTTCGTCGAGCAGGTCCGGCGGGGATTACCCCGCCGCTGGCACTGTCACTGCATCGCCGTCCACTGCGCCGACTGGAAAAATTCAAAGGTTCGGGCATGGGGAAAGACATTGAGTGAAGACGTCCCATCTTCAATGAAGATCCCGAATGAAGCTCCGAACCTGTGCCATCTCCTCAGCGCCGCTGTCGCCGACTGGCTTCTGGCTCCGGCCCCCGCTGAAGCAGCACCGCTGAAGAATCCTCGCGCAGAGCCACAACGCATGAACTAGTAAAGATTTCGTAAATAAATGCTCGGTGATGCTTTATTCATCCGCGGCTCGTCACGTTCGCCATACGTCCATGACCGAGGGTCGCATCACCTCCGTCCACGGTGTCTGGAGCCACCCGGATGCGAATTGTGTTTTGCAGGGCATGTGATGACGTAGGGCTACAGGCGCGCATTTTCATTTGGATTGTACGAGAATACAGTTTCAAGGGATGACGGCCGTTCGTGGTCACAGCACTGAAATCAGAGACACTGCATGTGAGAAGTTTCCATGCCTTCAGTTGAACTATCCCATTCACTGCATCCTGAAGCGAGACATTGCGCAGAGATGTCGACATTGATCCCCTGCAGCTGCTCGTGACCAAAGATACAGTCATCCAAGCAGGGAATGGGGTCCGAGAGATTTGGGGCCTGATCCGGACATGCTCTTTCGAGAAACGACATTCAGACTCAACTCAGGACCAGCCAAAGGGCCCAAATGGGTTCCGGTGGGACAGCAGCGTACTGAAGCGGCAGGCGGCTTGCCCGCAGAGCAGCTCTCACCCACCTTGTTCTTAGCATATAGGTGAATATAACGAAAAATACCGGGACCTCTAGGCCATCCTGAATAGCTTTATCAGTCTTGAAACTGCTGTATTTGGCTGAATGATGCTGTGCGGGTGTGACTATTTGCAAGCTAGTCTATTCTAAAGTCGAATGACAGCTGTACCGAGTTACATCACATGTTCCCCAAATCCCGCACATGCTGTCTACCCAAGTGTCCTTTTTGCCTTATGACGTGCGCACATTCAACTTATACACACGTGATGGTCTGTGGGGCTGTATAGGTGCCGCTCATGTGGCAAACCTCGTATTATATGTA